GTGTTTGGTGCACTCACTGTATGCTACAAGGAGTAATGAACAGTCGTAAAATTTATTCATTGCATATAACTTATATAAAACTCTATCAAAATTCACTCATCATCAAAATGACGCAGCCTTTATGCAACAATAATAAAGATTTGGGTCATACAATCATTGTATTCTGCATGTTTTGGTTGCGTTTTGGCGAGCGATTAACTCGCTAGGATTCATGCTCTTTGTCCATTGAAAATAATAACTTACGGTGCCAGATCTACAGCCGCTTGATATTCATACGTTATCCGTCATGGATAGAGATATTTAAGCACAATCACATCGCACTTTAAAAAAGTTGCTTAAATAAATAAAAGCAAACATTATATCAAATTAATAAGGGACATATCCTTTCCTTCCCTTTTATTTTCTAACCAAATTTTACATATTCAGCAGACCCTGATTCATGATGTCATGGTGAACTATATACTCCCTAAACTTCAAATATGGATTATACCAATGTAGGATAAAAATTGGGAGAATCCTGGCAACCTAAAATGGAACATGCAAATATTGGAAATTGGAAACTTGCAACATAAAAATGCTTAATATGTAAACCATCATGGGAGTTCTAAGGAGCACCATTTGAATATGTAATATTAAATTCTTCCAAGCCCATGTGAAGAACACTGATTTTCCTAAGGCTGGAAGGCAATTATTCTCTATTCTCCCCACATGGGGGAAAAATTCCTCAAGGTGAGATGTATTGACATAGCATTACTTGTTTTGACAAATTAAGACTACGATACTATGTATTTTTGTTGTTCAAATTGAAAACTAATCTCTTAGTTTTGACTTTCTTTGCATTTAAATCCTTGCAGCTTTGCTTATCGAAATTTAACATGAATTTTTACCAAAGGAAAGCTCTATTGCATCAACAAGGTAAATTTCTTTAATCATAAGAGTTTATTTTATTTTGTTGCGTAGAGAACTTGTCATCAAACAAGAAAAGTGAACTAGTTTACAACAAATACCAATATTGATCATGTCTATAAATCAAGGAAGAAGAACTTCTCATGTTGCTAGAGAAATTCTCTCTCTTACAGCAGAGACAATATTTAGAAGAGAGCAAAATGAAAGAAGTGAGAGAAAAAAAAATTGAGACGGGGTTCACCATTTCTTGTGTGTGCATGAATTTTTGTTCTTATGTAAAATGAGAAGTATAAAACCCATAAATCAAATAAATTAATAGCATAGAATATGATAAAGCTTTATATTAATTAATAGAATTAGCATCATAAAGGCATCTATTTCTAAAAAAATTAAGATTAATTGTGTAACTCATGACTAGTTAAATTATGCTATAAATAAAAACATTAAAATAATAAATTATAATAGAATTAATGTTAAAAAATACATTATTAATACCCATATGTTATTGTAATCGTCATACATTCTTTTACGTATTTTTAGGATAAAAATCGTATGGGATAGTCTGTATTTTATATAAGTATTTTCTATAGATGATTTTTTTTGTAGTTATATAAAATGATCTATTTGTTATTTGATATTTTAATATATTTAAAATTATAAATTAAATAAAATAAATTATACGCATAACGCAATTCGCACACAACAGCAAACAAATGATATGATAAAAATGCATAATGTTTTTTAAAAAATAAAATGTACTTTTTGAAGTGATCATATAAATTAGTTTAACAAATTTAAAAATTGATTTTTTTTTTTTGGATAAAAAAATTGATTATTTAATTAGAAACCATGTCGCAAAATTCTAAAATTTAACGATTTGGTTGATGTTTTTAAAAAGATGCAATACACAGAAGAAAAGGGAAATGTTTCTTGTAAACGCAAGCAGGACAGACACACCCGCTTCCACATATTTATGGGGGCTCACGTGTTATGTGCTTAGAGATGAATTTTGTCTTCTGCAAGGCATCATATAAGCCACAAAATACTGCTCCCAAATTCCTGTGTATATCATTATGTTGGATTACAAAATGATGGTGAATACGACATAACCTTGTTTCAACATTCCTTGTTTTAGGTAATTAAGGTTTGTGGAGAAAGCCATGTGATTTTCGTTGACCTACATGCATATATTAATTGTCGTAGTCTATACTTTATAGTTTTTGGCACATGATCTTCCAAAGTTCAGATGCATCCTTGTTTTTGTCCATTGATAAGTGGTCATCAGAATTCACTATTATGTTGCCTTTGATTTTTCACTGGTTAACTCAAATTAAGACTTTTGATAAAGATGTTTACCAAAAAAAGAAAAAAAAGACTTTTGATAAAGATGAAATGTGTGTGTCAAAAACTCAAAATTGACGTCAATTTTTTCTTGTTACATACAAGGATATCACACATATTTTTTTCATCAATCATTGTCAATCGTAATGCGCCATTCACATGCAATTCTAAAAAAGTAGAAGATTTATTGTTTTAAGTTTTGCGCAGACGTGGGTTAGGTTCATAACCGAAATATATAGTAAGCATATTTGCATGTTGTAAGCATATTTCATTTATCCTGGGGAGATAATAACTATTATAAGTTAAACTGAAACAAACCTTACTGGTAGAGCCTTCTCTTAATTATATTCGTGATTGACCCTACTAAGAATAATGCCTAACACATGGGGTTTACTTCTTATTATAACCAAAGCAAGGTGCATGAACCATGTGAAGTTGTCCTATTCTATCGTCAGAATATGAGAAAAAATTGATGAAACCTTATAAATAACAAATCAATAAAGTTCACAAGGAAGAATCAAGCCCTGGACCCTTTTTATTCCTAAAAATTAGTTGAGCCCAGAATTTTTTTTTTTTTGAGTGCTTATATTATTGGGCAGCGGCTAGGTGGAGCCTAATTAAAAAATATTATTATTCACTAATCAATGGGCCTAAGCGAGAAATCTATAACAAGGTGATTTAACATCATATTTCAACCTAAAACCTTAAAACATTATATTTGTAGGTCATTTCTATTATATGTATCATGCATGACCCATTCTTTCCTATGCGTGACTTTTATCACTCACACTTAAATATCTCTATGACATTTCATATTAAAAAATAACTATTCATCTGCTTTTAAACACAAATTACTTTTGGCATTCACTCGTAGCTTTCAAAAGGGATACATGTATTCATAGAAAATGTACGGCTATGATTTTTATTTTATTTTTTGGGTACAAATACGGCGGTGATTTAGTTTGTCTGTGTTTAAATTTAGATGAGATTATTTACCTTCTACTTTTACATGATAATGAGAATATTTAAAAAAATATAAACTTGAATAAAAATCGACAATTTCATCATTTCAAGAAGTCATTGAATTAACAAAATACTTCGTACATTCTGTTTGAGAGTTTTTTGATTATTTTTTATTAGTAGTCAATTTCATAATCCATTTCTCATTCCCTATTTCAATAATTCCAGGGTTATGGATCATTATATTTTACCCCATTCTAAAATTAATTTACCACTTTATATTCCATCACGTATTTTACCCCATTCTAAACTTAAATGTTTGACCGATATTATTTGATTAATCTGCCCATTTTATTAATATCCAAAAAAAAAAAAATCTGCCCATTTATTTAAACAAATGTCAGTCAAACTTTAATTAAATAAGGACAAATTAATATATAATTTATAAATGGAACAAAGAAATAAAAAATTTTAAAACAATAAGTAGAATGGTCAATCAGCGTAATTTCCACAGTCAGAAAGAAAACTTTTAGAATTTAATGACATGTCAATTTTTTTTAAGCATAAAACACTAATAAAATTTCGTTCATTCTATTTAATTAATTCACTTTTTATTGTCAACCATTGGACTGGATGTTCATTCGTATGGACTTTGGACCTGACTGGTATTAGAATCTGTGTGCCTTCCATGTGATTTCTTCTTTGCTCCAGTAAGTGGAATGTAAACAGTGACGGGTTTAAAGGTCATCACCATTGGAGCGCTTTTTATGGAGTTCGGTTTCAAAATTGGCGCGTTCCATTTTGCTCGTGCCTTTAGCTTTCTGTCACATGCTTGAACTCGCACGTTTTAGCTTCAACACGAGAACATCGACCAAAATATCACTTTTTGACAAATGTCTTACTCAAATATCACGCGAATAATACTTTTTACTATACTGTCATGTGACGTAATTCGTTATTCGCTACGACTGATAGCAAACTTATTCGTCAATAATTTTGTGACACATGGCACATTTTTATAAGAAAAAGCTGATTGGACTAAATTCGCTATCAGCGGTAACAAATTTGGTACGCAATATGGTAACGTGTCACGAAATCATTGACCACGAAATTCGTACCATTGATAGCAAATTTTGACACATGACAGTCTGGTAAAAAAGCATTATTCGCAGTCTTTATCTTGTGATGCGAGTCACATCAAGTTTGCTAGAATATGTGTTTGCAATGCCGTGAATTCCGTAGCACGGTGCAATTTTAATGATTTTCTTTTGCCCAAGGAATGCATGAGAATTCATGCTCAAGAGAGCCTTCATGCTTTCGTGGTCAATTTCTTAAAAGACAAGAATTATAACCTTTTATGATAATAATCTCTTAAAAGTCAACTGGGACCACTTGTTAGACCTTTTTTTTTTTTTGTAAAAACTTTCCAACCTAAAAAAAACATCTTCACCGCTTGTTAAATATTGTAAAAATTTGGTTCAAAAGTTATCACTGAATCATGGAATTAACTATTATTAATGAATCATGCAATTAACATCAAGTTACAGATTCTAATCAGTCTCCGATTTGAACACTAAGAAAAACGGATGAAGTCCATAACTTTTCTGTTTATATTATGATACTTTGCTACGGTCTTGAATTTCACTGCAAAAATATAGAACACAATATACATACTGAACTAAATTTGAAAGCAGCATCTTGCAACATAACCGAAGTCTTTCCACAAAGCGTCACTCTTGGAAAATCTATTTGGTCATGAAATGGAAGAGATATTTCTTTTTTTCTTTCTACCTTTTTTTCATCATGTTAAGTATTTTACATTAAGGGTACATACAAAGACAACAAATGAAGGCTATCACTGACATATGCTAGTACACCGTTACTCAAAACCTTTCTGTATCCTCCTCATCTATTCAAAATATACATTATCCATTAGCTGCTATACATCTAATTAGGTACATCCACTTATGTTACTATGTTCAGGCGTATTGATGCTCCTATCTTGCAGAAGATTACAAGGAATGCGAGTAATGTGAAGAAGACTCGATATCCCAATCAGTGTCTCCAAGCTCATTGTTTCCAACCGCAGTAAGAACCGTTGAATGGATATAATCATCCACCACAAAACCTTCAGCTTGCATTCTACGCATGAGCTTCAGAGCCTCTCTACCATGTCCATTCTTTGCATAACTTAAGACCATGACTTTCCAAGAAACCAAATTCCTCTCTGGCATGTTGTCAAAAACTTGAAAAGCGTCAGAAACAAATCCACATTTCCCATACATGCATATTAAAGCACTGTTTACAAATACATTAGACAAGGCAGGGGTCTTGCTTGCATAGGAATGAATCAATTTTCCTTGCACTGGAGCTTTTAAATTTGCACACACTTTCAGAGCTGATGAGTAAGTATAGGAGTTAGGTAACACACCTTCCTCCATCATTTCCTGCAAAAACTCCATAGCCTCTGATTCAAGCCCAAGCCTGGTGCACCCAGAGATAATTGCAGTCCATGAAACAACATCCTTAAAAGGCATATGTTGGAGCACCTTGAAAGCACGAGGGTATTCTTTACATTTGCTGTAGAACCATACCAAAGAGCTTCCTATGTACATGTTAGAATGGATACAACTTTTGATTATCTGTGCGTGAACTTCTCTTCCGATTAGCGCAGCCTTAATTGTGCCACAAGCCATCAAGACACTTACAATTGTCAATTCGTTAACATGTACTTTTTTTCTCTTCATTAACCGAAAAAAGCTTATGGCCGCATCACCAAACCCATTTCGAGCACATCCTGATATAATAGACGTCCAAGTAGCTGTATTTCTAATCCTCATTCTATCAAACACTTTTTTGGAATTCACAATCTCCCCACATTTTGCATACATATCAACTAGGGAAGTTCCTATAAAAACATCACTCTTGCAGATTTTCTTTACTATGGCACCATGCAGCTGAGTCCCAAATTTCAATGCTTTATTCTCTCCACAAGCCTTTAGTGCACCACATATGGTATATTCATTAGGAAAGAACCCATCACCTAGCATTTGAGACAACAACAACAAGGCATCATGTCCAAGCCCTTGTTGGGAACAAGCAGTAATCATAGTTGTCCAACATACCACATCTCGCTCTGCCATACGATCAAATGTTTGAAATGCACTTGATATCTTACCACATTTTGCATAAAAATGAACAACTGCACTGTCAACAATTAAATTCCTCCAGTTGCTTTTCAAGATGTAAGCATGGATTTGTTTCCCCAGTTCTAAATCCACTTTTTTACCACACAAATTCAAGACACAAACAAACATCTTACAGTTCACTGGAACTCCATGTTTAATGGAATCATGAAATAACTTAAAAGCTTCATCATCCAAGTTAAATTTTAAATACCCATCAATAATAGCAGTCCATGTAACTGTATTCCTTCTTGACATTCCATCAAACACTCTACGAGCCTGAGCTAAATTACCCAATCTCAAATAACTGCAAATCAAATTATTATCAACATAAGTAACTAAATCTCTAAAACATTTCAAGACAATTGCGTGTACCCTTCCTACTTCTTCCACATTACAACACAACCGCAACCAATGAGCTACTAATTCTTGATTGAAACATTGACTTTGCTCAGCCAAATTGTCTATCCCGCAGGAAGCATCCAGAGGAGAATTGATAATATCTTCAAAGTTCAACTCTGTAGTATTTAGTGCTTCAATGCTTTCAGTTGCAGCATCATAGACTTTTACAGCAGCCAAGCATGTGTTCCGAAGCTTTACCAAATCTTGTCGTGATAAAAATACCACATCAATTAAAGAAGCAAATTTGAACTACCCAATTAAACTGACTCATTTCTTAACATGTGGCAAGTACTATAAGATCTCTACAGTGCATGGACATAAAAATCCTAAGGCTAACAATCACAGTTCAACCTAGGCTAACCTAGATGGAGTATTGTCTCTTGACGATCTCTATGTTTCAAAGGAATAACTTTTGGAGAGATGGGAATGACAATGGAATATGATTCTGTGGGCAAATAATTTCGATCTGATGATAAAAACACCACCATCTAGTTGTACATGTAGTGATAAAGTATTAGAAAGAACTGAACTGAATTGAATCTAAAGACTAAGTGCCTGTTTGGATCCTCTCTTTTTTAAGCTAAAAGCTACTTATAAGTATAAGCTAAGTCAAACAGGTTTTGAGAAAAGCTTTTATAATGAAAAGCTTTGTTTTTATAATGAAGAAAAAGCTAAAAGCCAAAAGCTCCTAGAAGGAGTTTTTTTTGAATTGTGTTTTTTTTTAATGAAGAGCTATAAAGAGAGAGAGAGAGAGAGAGAGAGAGAGAGAGAGAGAGTTTTCTTATGTGCTTTTAAGTTAAAAAATTTATGCAATCACCAAACAGCTTTTAGTTTTTTTTTTTAAGCTTTTTTTTTTTAGTTTTAGCTTATAAGTAGCTTCTAGCTTAAAAAAGAGAGGATCCAAACAGGCTCTAAAAGAGCACTACCATCCAAAGGGATATCATTTTGCGCTGACCAAATATTTAAAAGCTAAATCTATTGTTATGAGAAATATTGACTCAGAATTCAAAGCATTTAGTCTCACCATTTTGTGCTTTTGGATTGTCGTTGTAAGATTCAGCTACTATATGAAGATGCACAAAGAAATCTTTCGTGAAATCTTTACGACTCCTGGAAACAATTTTACTGATATCAGATGGAGTCCCTTTGATCATTTCAAGAAGTTCATTGTGTCTCTGCACATCTTCATCTATCTGCAGAAGAGGAGTATTTAAAAAATCTGTTCATTATAGCAGCTATAAATAACAAACTTAGTGGAATGGTATAATCTCTTGATATACAAAGTTTCCCTACATTAATGACATTCCTTATTTTGTTTTTCTAGGATAAAATATCTTTCCCCTTCTATTATTTTCTAATTAATTTAGTACAGTAAAATTGTACTGTGAAATACAGCTACAAGTATGCATTTTGCATCCAAGAGAAACAAAATAATAATAATAATAATAATAATAATAATAATAATAATAATAATAATTAAAAAAGAGGTGAATGTTAGATTGGAATTGTGCTAAATTGTAATGCATTAGTCAAAAATACCATAATGACATAAAGTGATGAGTATAAATTTCAATAACAAATGACATACCTCTTTAAGCTTCCTTCCAAGCCATAGCAGCTTGTTCTTCATCAGCGGATTGTCTTCAGTGTCTGCTCTATCCTGACAGTGTCTGAAAAAATGGACCCTGATATTGCTCCACTCCATGTTGAAAACTAACAACCTTCTCCAATCAGTCAATGCAGGCTCGTCCACCATGAAAGCCTCAATTAGCTTGTCACAATCTCTAGTCATTTGGTAATCCTTCAAGAACCCTGTACCATCATTATCATCCCTTTTCTCATCACTTCCATTGGGATCATCACAAGAACAAGCAGCACTGGAGGTACCAGTACATGACAACCGTTCCCTGATACAATTTGGCACTGCCCTTGTGTCACGAGCAACAGCATTAGCTGGAAACGAGTGCTGCTGATCTGCTCGATCAAGGAACAAGTTATCATAACAGGAATTAGGATCCTCCCACGTAACAGAACCATCATGTTCAAGAATACAATTTATATTGCAGAAACCCGCCATGATTGGTTATTAGGCTACTAAAGGGTAACATGTTGCTATGAAGCTCCCACTCTGCCCCGTCAAGGGTTTAGGGTCTGTAGTAGGTAGCCTTATCTAGCATTTGCAAAAATATAATTACAAGATCAACCTTGCATTTGCAAAAGTGTGATCACATGAATTGAACTTGTGACCTCTGGATCACATGGCAACAATACTAATCATAGTGCCAAGGCCTCCCTTCGTTATCAAGCTACTATTTTGTATTAAAAATTAGGGTTTAAAGTTTCTGATGTTATAAGAGATAAAATTAACCCTTACACAGATACATAAAAATATGTACATAAACAGAAGAGAGGGAAAAAGAAAATTTGGGTCCCACTTACTTTGATGTGTATATAGGATATAATTTTTCATCCCGTGAAAAGCTTTAAACCCTAAAAATTATTAAGCGACTTTATTTCTCTAACATAACCTTCTCCTGTTATTTAAACATCAGAGGAGAGAATCCAAATACTACTATCCAACATACATTAGTCTTGTTCCTTTTCTTTGGGTAGCATACAAGTATTGGAAGGAGAAACAAACAAGGAACTCCCTATGCTGATTTCACTATCCTAAGTCATATCCTAATATAATGCGGCAAACAGCCAAACAGTTGGTGGGTGTATTAAATTTGAGCTGAAAAGTCACCGGTGACTCACCTTTGGAAGTAAAAGTGAAGCATGAAGGTCGAAGTGAATTTGCAATGAATAAGAAGGGAGAAGTAAAATCTGCACTGGGTTTAACTGCGGCAAACCTTGGTGGTAGAAGCGAAGAAAATGATTGAAGAATTGCTGTCCGTAACTCCATGTGTTGGATATTTTTCTATCTAATATTCAGAGATTGGATAATAGATGAGGTCGTTAGACATTTAGAGTATAAAAAAAAAACGCAAATAAAGAAAAAGGAATGGGTGTTTGGGTGGTGAACCAATAATAATAATAATAATAATAATAATAAGAGTAACGTTATTTATAATTTCTTACAATCATATCTTAATTGTTGATTTTCGTCAATCAACGGTTATTATTTATTGTGAATTAATAATTAATTAATGAGTTTAATTTGAAAAAATAATAATCGTTGATTGACGAAAATCAATGGTATTAAAATATGATTGTAAGAGATTGTAAATAAAAATAGATCGTAAGTATATCATTTTTCTAATAATAATAATAATAATAATTAGGGATTACTTCTCTCACGTAGTATGAGAGAAGTTCTTTCATGTGATTACCAAAAAAAAAATCTCTCAAACAAATAAAGTGGGTCCCCTCAATTTTAAAAAAAATTAAAAAAGAGGCACATTTTTTAAAATAAGAATAACATAAAAGATCAATTTCATACAACATAATACTAATATGATTTCCCATAATAATAACAATAATAATAATAAGCTTGAAACTTAACTTAGAAGTTGGAACTTGGAAGAGGTTAAAAATATCCCAGCTCAAGAGGGTGGAAGGAAGTGGGACATGACAAAAGACCAAAGAGGGAAATGAACTGAGGGATAAGCAGGCCTCACATGTCACGGCTACTAATACCTCATTTCCAATCCAAATCCAAATCTAATAATACTTGTGTTTGCTTAAATAATTGGAAAATATTTACAACTCACAGCAATACTTTATTTCTTTTCTCTTTATAAGGAGACTCCTCCTTTTTAGGTTAATGCGACTGATAAATATTTTTAATAACAAAAATAAAAATATTTTTTCCATAATTTATTTATATTTATAAAAAAAATTCACCATCTCTTCTTATCATATGTTACAATCATTTTTATTATTATTAAATTAAAATTAAATTAATGGCTCTTACTTAATATTAATTTTTAATTGTTTTAATTTTGATTCAACAATAATAAAATAATAATAAAAAATGATATTAATTATAACTTTTTTTTTATATTTCTCTCTCTTTTTACTTTTTTTTGTCCACAACTTAGAAGGATAAAGCTTTTAATAAATTTGATTTGAATAATTCAAATAATTTATCAAGTGACACTTACAACCAATGTTGTAAAATCCTGCTCGATCATTGACTCGGTCGGAATAACCAAATAGGATGCGTAGAGGGAGTGCATAGAGCCACAAAGATGTATCAAGATTTGGATAAAAATTTCTTGTGGTTTGAAATGAAGAAAGACATAGTTGAGTATGTTTCCAAGTGCCTTACTTGCTAGAAGGTCAAAATTGAACACTAGAAACATTTGGGCATCTTCTCATGTTTTTCAGTAACATGAACATGTCATAGTGAAAATTTTCAGTTAGACTGATCAATGATCACGATTTTAACGAAAAAGTTTACTATTATTTGTACAACACAAATTTATAAACCTAATTGGGAGGAACTACTATTATTTGTAAAAATGTGACACGTGTCAACAGGTGTCAACACCTGACACGTCACCAATCACGTCTAATTTTATTTTTGAAAAACAATATTCATAAGCCATCATTAATTTCAGACCACGAATAATAACCCAGAAGCTTATAGCATTAATCGTTAATTTCAAAAATAATATCTTTCTTCCTTAGAAATTTAAAATATTTATTTAATTATTTCCTTTATTTCTACAGATTTTTCAAATTGATTTTTTAGTTTAAATCACAAATCAAATCTTTATTTTTTTCCCTTATTAATAATAATTTTTATTTTTATTTTTAATTTAAATCACAAACCAATTTTTTTTATAATAAAAAATTATTATAAAAAAAATTTAAATCACAAATCAAAATTTTATTTATTTTTTTATATTAAATCACAAACCCAGAACTCAGAGGCTTCTAGGTTTAACCGCTCTTATAATACCATTCTTGCAATTTAAATTGTGTTTGTGAGAAATAAAATATGTCAAATGAGATGTCATTACGTAGATCTCGAAAAGTTATGTGAAATCAAAAAAAGAATTACCTGATTTGGATACCCGAGTCAAAGTTATGGCCTTCAGAAGTTTTATAATTAAATTATTTTATTTTTTTTGGTAAAAAAATATGACACGTGTCAACACCTGATGAGTAACGCCCAAATTTAGGCGTGATTGCCTCTTGAGTGACGCTCAATTTAGGCGTCATTGGTGACGCTCAAAATGGACGTCTTATTGTGCAATAAATATGTAATTATTTTCAAAACTATAATAAATGCGTAATTAATTTATTAAAAAGCATTAAATAAATTTTTTTGCCTTAAATTTCCTAAAAAATTGCCACTCAATCTGATCTTGAATTATCTTTGAGACCAAAATCTGATTTTATTCGCTAAAAACAAGAATTTGTTAGGATAAACATTTATCTCTTGAAATCTTCAGCCTCCATATCCTTTATCATGCCATGTAGCGTCTTATCTTCTATTTGAATTTGAATTTCAGCCTTATCTTTATCTTAAGGTTTTTACACCTTATGGCGCACCGTTTTACTCAAGTCCCTTATGATACGAAGTTGTCATGGCATTGTCTAGGTTCTGGTGCGACCTTGCAATGACATGATCCTTCAAAAGAACAACTCAATAAGTCAATTGTTCTAACCATATTATATTAATCAGAATCAATTAATTTACACTTAAACACCTCAAAACACTTAGAAAAATATATTAAGCAAGATCACATCTTATCAATCATTCGTTGAGGCATTTTGTGATTAATTTAAGCTACATTTTCACTTATGTAAGCTCAAAATTAACTTTAACTTTAACTTAGAGAGTTAGTAGCAGGTTTCCATTCCAAGGCTTGTTTAGAAAACTTCCCACTTCTTCAAATCATTAATAATTTTGAAAACATGGCATGCTACAAACATGGCAATTTGCTTATCAAATTTGGACTATTTTAAGAGTGTCAGTATGGTTTTGTCAAATTTAACCAGCTATACTTTTTATACAAAGATCTTGTGAAACTTCATATATAATGGGTTAATGTAACAGGTGAGAGATGGAGATAGAGAAGGAGGAAAATAAAGAAGGTAACACGCTCGAGATATCTTACAAAAGTGAGAAAAGAAAAAGCGTATTAAAAATTGAAACTGAAAATAGGAAAATAGGAAAGCAAAGTTGTGAAAGTTGAAGAAGAATATGAAAGTTAAGAAGTCAAATGTAACTGAACTTGGGTATTAAAATATAAGTGTCAATTTAATTGTGATACTAAAAAAATGGTATAACTAAAGTAGTTATCATATAGTACAAAACTGAAACTGAAAATGGGGAAGCAAAGTCGTACAGTTGAAGGGAATTTAAGAAGTCAAATGTAACTGAACTTGGTTTTTAATATTTAAGAGTCAATTCAATTATAATACTAAAAAGTAGTGGAACAAAAGTAGTTATTAAATGGGAAATATTACTCTCCTTCAACATGAGATATCATCTCTCATTTTCTCTCCTTTCGATTTTCGTGCCCCATCTTTTTTTTTTCTTTTTTTTTTTTGTAATGGTGGGACCCACCTATTTTCTCTCTACAACATAAGATATCTATCTTATGTTGAATGAGAGTAATAAAACCCTTATTAAATAGTATAAAACTAAAACCGAAAAGGGAAAGTAAAGTTATGAAAGTTGAAGGGAAGTTAAGAAGTCAAATGTAACTCAACTTGGATATTAAAATGTAAGTGTCAATTCAATTGTGATACTAAAAAGATAAGGTTTTTTCACCCTTTTGCTCCTTATTTATTAATTAATAATTATTTTGTCCCTGATTCGAAACTATCTACTAATTTGCCCCTCTTTAATCGACTACCTTGCATTTTTAGTCGATTAAATGATCAAAATAGGCAAAAATGGTTGTTGGGAGATTTAGTCGACTAAATCTCCTTATTTAATCGACTAAATCTCCCAACAGACAACAAAGAAAAACAAGTCAGTATGATTTTTTTAATCGATTAAGTAGGGAGATTTAGTCGATTAAATCTCCCAACAATCATTTAGTCGATTAAAAATGCAAGGTAGTCGATTAAAGAGGAGCGAATTGATAGATAGTTTCGAATCAGGGGCAAAATAATTATTAATTAATTAATGAGGGATAAAATGGTCAAATAGCCGATAATGTAACTGAAATAAATATTAAATAGTACAAATCTGAAACTAAAAATGGGGAAGCAAAGTTGTGCAAGTTGAAGGGAAGTTAAGAAGTCAAATGTAACTAAACTTTGGTATTAAAATGTAAGTGTCAATTCAATTGTGATACTAAAAAATAGTGTACCTGAAGTAGTTATTAAATAGTACAAAATTGGGGAAGCAAAGCTGTGAAAGTTGAAGGGAAGTTAAGAAGTCAAATGAAAATGTACTTGGGTATTAAAATGTAAGTGTCAGTTCAATTGTGATACTAAAAAAATAGTGTAACTGAAGTAATTATTAAGGGTAAACAACTTCTCCTTTCAATGGAGAAGTTTTTTTGTTGCAGCAATCACATAGCAAAGCATTGAAATGTGTGATTTATTTTTTGTTTTGTCTTTTTTCAAAACAATCAATGGGTCCCACCAAAAAACTCTCTCAGCTGTAAAAAAGAAGTTCTTCTGTCAAATGAGAAGTTGTTTCCTAAAAAACTGAAACTGAAAATGGGGAAGCAAAGTTGTGAAAGTTGATGGAGAATATGGAAGTTAAGAAGTCAAATGTAACTGAACTTGGGTATTAAATGTAAGTGTCAATCTAATTGTGATACTAAAAATATAATGTAGCTGAAGTAGTTATTAAATTGTACAAAATTTAAACTGAAAATAGGGAAGCAAAGCTGCCAAAGTCAAAGGAGAATATGGAAGTTAAGAAGTCAAATGTAACTGAACTTGGGTATTGAAACATAAGTGTCAATTTAATTATGATACTAAAAAATAGTGTAAT